CTCGTAATTTTTAATGATAGGTCCTTGTCACTGGCTGGCTGATAGGTCCTTGTCACTGAAGCAGCGCTGCTTCCAAGGGACGGACGCAAAGTAGTCACGCATACCGTCCCAATCTGCCGACCCATAATGCCAAATCCGGCGTTTTACCACCGTTGGACGTGGAGGCTTGGCCTGTGGCGCTTTGGCAGATATCAGGCAGTGATCTGAAGAGCCCAGGGGGGCTCCTTAACGGGGAGAATGCCTTTAAGCACCGTCCCCGCCCACTGGGCTAGTGAGCGGGGGTGTGTGGGACTCACCCGGCTAAAGAGATAACCGGGAATACTCCACTAAACTCCCCGGGAACTTCGCCTCGCCACAATTTAGCGGGCCACGAGCATGCGCAGGGCGCTGGCTCGCGTAGGCCTGCTCGGCGACATAGGCCTGCTCGGCGAGGGGGGCTCCTACCACAACCTGATAGCCCTGTGGATGGGTCGTGAGCAGAAGGTCCAGCAATGAAGGCGCTTGACTTGAAACATCTGGAATCCTGGTGGGCTGATCGACCAGTTGTTTCAAGTCCTGCGTGAGAGCGAACGCGTGAGCAGAGATCCCTGCATGGTCAGTTTTCGAGGAACTTAACCACAAATTGTGGTGAGCATTAAAGTCCCCCAAAAACACCAATTCTGCATTGGGAAATTGCTCCTGCGCGTCATCTGCTGCCCGACTAAGATGTTCGAAAAGTCGAGTTGTCTCAACATCGCCAGTGTGGGATCTGTAGAGGCACACGTAGACTCTGGCCTGGGGACCAGAATCGACGTGTACCCCCAACATGGAGAAGGAGGGATCTTCCAAGCAGCGAAGACGGCGACAACAAACATCCGCCCGAACATACAGGCATACACCGGCTTTCGCTTTGAAGGACTCTTCAAGCACGTAGCCGGGATAATTAAGGTAGCCTGTGTCAGCAGGCGGAAGTATTTGTGTCTCCGTCAGGAACAACAATGCCGTGCTGTCTCAAGATGGTGGTGGACAGCATTGAGGTTAGAGTGGAGTCCGCGTATGTTGCAGAACTCGACCTCAAACAGCGTTGAAGGCGTGGGGGTGTGCACCGCTGTACGTCCAAACTTTGTTTTGAGAGCTGCCATTATGGAAGTGATAAAGAGACGTGAAACGAGTGGACGTTGTCGCGACAAGACCGGGCAAATTAGGGAGGCATGTTTCCCCGAATAATTGCCTGCAGAGGATATACGCCGACCCGCCGGACGGAAGGGCCCCCGCACCCCCCCGGAAGTGGCCGCCGGGACCCCACGCCCCGGTCACCAACCGGCACGACGGTCCACCCCGAGATTATGCGTGACATGATGGGGCAGCCTCGCGAACTGGTTAGGAACGCTCGGGCCCCTGTACTGTGCCACGGGCGGCCAGCGGGACAACCTTTTCTACGGGTCTCCCTGGCCGGCGGGTCGATGCAGTCCTCCCGGCATCGGTTCGACGGATGCCTCGCCCTGGACCGAATCCGTCGCGACAACCTACACTCGAGTCCTGGTTGTACGCTGGCTGACCCCGAAACGCGCGAGAAGCACTTCACGGGTTTTTCACCATGCGCACGGTGGTAACAAACCAGGCGGGTGTTAGGCACCCTACCACCAGCAGAGCGGATGGAAGCTCCGATATCCCTTAGTCGCCTCTTACGACACCCACGAGAAGAGAAGGGGCGGTGAGTTGTATTCTTTCTCCGTCACCGCACGGATAAAAATTTCGGATTATAAACGCACGACATTTTCACAGTCGGCCCGGGAGCTTCGATGTGAAGAAGTCAACTTGAAGTGGAACTACGAATAGTACCGTGGGCTGTTCTCTGCTGTGCGTCACTTTCTTGAAGCTCAGGATTATGGACTGCAGTTTGGGAATCCGGCTGTTACAGAAGTTTTGTTAATATATTCATTCTCAATTTAATTTAGTGAAAACAACTCCAACAATTTTTCGGAACACTCACTACGTATTTTTTTATAGATGGGTCCGACAAATGACTCCACCCCGCCTGATGTTAGGTGACGGTGAAGTCCAGACGCGAAGATAGATGATACAGCAGTTCTACCTGCCACACCAGGTAAGTAGTTACACCAGTAATTTATCTGAAAATTGGATGTTTTTCAAGCAAGAGTTCGAAATATATCTGCTGGTATCAGTAAACAGCGTAAGTGATGATGCGATAAAAATAGCTTTGTTACTAAGTGCTGTAGGTGATCGAGCAATGAAACTGTACAACACTTTGACATTCGAAAAAATCGACGTTAAAGGCATTTTAATAAAGTTCTTCAAAAATTTGATGAACATTTCTGCCCAGATAAAAATGTGACTTAAGAACGATTTTTGTTTTTTACCCGGGATCAAAAAGAAGAGGAGACATATGAAAACTATGTAATGGAATTGCGTGATTTAAGTACATCTTGTGAGTTTGGACCACTAACTGAGAGTTTAATAAAAGACAGGATAGTTTGTGGAATTTTAGACGTATCTGTGAAAGATCGTCTTCTACGAACGAAAGAATTAACATTGGCTAAAGCGATTGAGATATGTTGCACTTTTCCGCGAACAAAACAGCAGGTTGAAGCCATTTCGTCTCCAGGTGCGTGTTATTCGGGACCGCATATTTTTTTACCACAAATTGACATAATTGATCAAAAAAGTTCGAATATGGTTCGCAACAGCACTAAAGGGAATTTCTACCCATCAACCTCTGCAGTTAACACACATGTGGATATAAAACGTCACTCTACGTCACAGCAGCAAAAGAAACGAAATGGATTTATTTGTAAGAATTGTGGTTATTTTCATGACAGATATAAATGTCCGGCTTTTGGAAAAAACTGTTTAAAATGTGGAAAACGAAATCATTTTTCCACAAAATGCAGAAGCATTAGCGAAATAAAAAATAACGATGATAAATGTAATGAAATCGATATGCTATTTTTAGGTGCGATTTTTATCAACGCTGTTGTCAAGTCAAAAGATTGGTGTATTACTTTAGAAATAATTAATTTTCCTTTGCAGGTTAAAGTGGACACAGGTGATTATGAGGTAATCTTCTTAATCAAGTGATTATGAGGCAACATTTTAGCTTGCCCACGTTTGAGGAAATAACAAGTAAATTAGCAGGCGCTACTGTTTTTAGCATACTAGATGTTAAAAATGGCTTTTGGAATATCAAATTATCAGCGGCTAGTTCTGACCTTTGTTGTTTTAATACTCCGTTTGGTAGGTACAAATTTTTGAGAATGCCATTTGGTTTGTGTAGCGCTTCGGAAGTTTTTCAAAAAAGAAAGAGAGAAGTATTGGAAAATTTAGAAGGGACGTCTTTATTGATGACGTTTTGGTTTGGGGGAAAAACCAGGTGGAGCATGATAGACGTTTGCGTTCAGTTTTGGCCCGATTAAGACAAGAAAATATTAAATTGAATAAAGATAAATCATCTGCTTACTGCGAAAACCAAATCAATGCACTTTTTTACGAAATTATGAACACAGTTATACGTAACTTTTTGTGTTCTTTCTACTGGTAAAATCGGATAAATGATAAATCATACGGTTGCAAAGATAGCTAGGATGAAAACCTTATAAGTACACACATTTTGGAAAAAATATACAGAAAAAACATTATAAAAAATCATAATGCATACGTTTCTTTGTTTGTTAATTCTTATTATGCCTGGCTATTGTAGCTACTTGAATTCTTTAAATTTATATATTTTATAGGTTGTTTTATTTATTAACCTCATAGTAAAATGAAAACAAAGTCCTTTTCATCTTAACCAAATTTGTGTATCATTTTGTATGGTGAAAAGCTGAATAAGAGAAAAAAATAACAAATTCTCTTCAAGCAAAAACTGATAAATGACCAAAAAATGGCATTTACATATAGCTATATATCCAGCTTTACACAGTGTTAAAATACTAGAGTGACTCTCAAATACAAAACGCGACAGCATTAAGTTGAAATTAGACAATTAAGACGGTAAATTCCGAAGATGATGCATTAGAAACTCTTTTAATTGTCATGTTTTTTATAAAGAAATAAATTTCTGTCACTTGACAGAGATGACGCAAAATGCAATGGTTTTGTTTTAAAAACTTTTACTTTAAATTACTTATATTTAACAGCCATCACAAAATTATTCAGTGAGATTGACAAGAACACCTTTGAATCCTGGTTACCAGTGAACTGAATCTTTTTGATTGATTGAGTGATCTGTTTGTGAACAAACAGATCACTTTGAATGTGGTTTTTTGCCTCTACCAGTATGAAAGCGTGCGATATTTTTCTGAATAAGAAATAAGTACATCAAACTACGAAAATGATCAAGATTTAAATGCAGAGTAGCGTAGACACGCTATTTAAAATCCTCTTCCTTCAACTTGCTCCTGGACTGGAATGCTGATGATTGTAGTTTTCTGTATGGTGGAAGTAACCTCCAAAAAACAAGACAATTAAGAGAATTAAGCTGCAGCGGATTTTCGACTCTAATTGAAGCGCCCGTCTGGGGGAAGCTATCTTTGGAAAGTAAGGTCCACCACAGAACACCACACTAAAATAGCACTACCTTTTTGTGGTGTGTATTTTGTTCGAATTAGCTTTTTTCTCAGAGAGCTTTACGGGGGTAGGCCCCAGAAGTAGGGAACGCGCGAAGTGAGTGATACTTAGTAACTATTAAGTAATCTGTGGTGATACTATACGGTATCGCAAGCGTCTGTACCACATCGCCAAAGAATATGTTGGCCGCTTACCAGAACATAGGCGATATGTTTCATGCCACCATTTTGTAATGCCATAAAAGAAAAAAACAAGAAAAGAGGAGATCCACTCATATAAAGAACGTAAGGTTTTAGTTAAAGGAGATTACAATATTTTATAATGTAATAAGCAACTAGGATTTAATGAGGTGAACCGGTATGGGACCTGAATTGCGGAGCATTAATCACAGCTCCCGAGTCAACTAAATATTTAACTGTGTTGCTGATTACAAAATGGAGCATCAGGAGGTAAGTACCTAGGCTTTAGACACCAAATAGTTACACAGAATGTTTGAATTGTTTATGTGAGTCACGTTACGTGGATCTTTTGGGAAATACCACTGAAAACAAAAAAAAAACTGTACTGTAAAATAATTATTATACTTTTCTGCGTTTTCAAGCTCTAATTTAATATAACTAACTCACCAACCCTCTAAATTAATTGTTCAATTTAATTTCCACATGAGTTGTTAGATAAAAAATAATATATGGCGATAAAGAAGCTTTAAAAAAGCTTATAATTAAATTTTTCTATGCAACTAAGTTCTAATAAGCCTTTACAGTTGAACAACGCATTTGAATCTTTAAAAAGTATTCAAATATATCAAAACGGAAGTTCAATTCATCAAACGTTTCGTTCGCTTTGGGAAACTTATGGTCAACATAGCCGTCTTAAGGAGGACATGATTCAGGGCAAGATATGGCCTTCAAGCTCATACGATTTAATGACCCTTGATTATTTTTTGTTGGGTTATGTAAAATCACTGGTGTATGCGAATTATCCCAGAACTGTTGAAGATTTTAAGATAAACAACAAGCGTCATCAACGAGATAGAGGTGCCATTATGTCAAAATTCATTATGTGATGTAACATTAGACCTCTCTTAATCAAGCTACTATACAAAGCCCAATTAATCATTTCAACAATTTCGTATTCCACACATAATGCCAAAGAGTAAGCTTCCAAAAAACGAAATTTAATCTAATTGTTAACAATCAATTTGTTTTTCGAATTCGAATTCAAATGTACGGTTTTATTGGAAAACCTTTGTAACATATTTTTAAGTGGATATGCTACTCACCGACTATCAAAATCACAGAACAAAAGACTTAATTATACCAGGGTGTAGTTTATGCTGTGAAATGATTGATACAACCATCTTTTACCATATACTGGGTTTAATCGTAGAGTGGTGGCGTTAACATTTAATTTCCAATGTTATTAAACTAAATACATATTCTTCTTTACCTTATTGTACGACGTTGACAAATTAAATTTACATTCCTTGATGAAATCTGTTGAAATGGGTAGCTGAGAAGACAGTTATGATGATGACAGCTTCTTATTATCCTCTTATTTGAAGATCCGAAGTCCACACTGTTCACCAAGCCTTGTTATATTTCATCACCACAACGTGGTCTCATGACGTCGCCATTTTGTTGTAGGAAATGAAGTCAACTAATTCTTGATTAATTCATGTGGAATGATTCATCACATTTAAGTATGAAGACTAACAATTAACCACTACGCCTACGAACCCCTAAAACAATGAAGAAATGCAGTAGAATTGCACTTTTCTCTAAAGATCCCTAACTATCCAAAAATTAAAGTTGTACTTACAGTTATGGGATTTTCTATTAACTTATCTTTAATCTACCACCACATCGTCTTCCCTGATGTACTTTTAGCCACCTTTCATCATCTATTTATTCCTTTCTTTAATTCTTTTAAGCGAGCTCAAAATACGTCGTTCCCTTCGTAGCCTAATGCAGAAAGAGAGCCCCACCTTTTTTACATAATCACTCATTAACCAAGATGCCCCCTGACGGCGATTTGTGTCACCGTCTTTACGTTTGAAACTAATAAGAGAAAGCACGCCATATTGAATCAAGACTTTTTCTTTGCGTACTAATTCTTATTAGTTTCACTAGATGGCGCTTAGCACAATTAATCATGTTACACCTTTTATCTGAAAGTTAGGTGGTCATAGGATGAGGATGGGTGAATAACAATATTATCTCGATCAGGAGCGTCTAGCATGGAGCACCGAGTTTTTGAAGGACGTTAAGCTGTTGTTGTAGGCCAATCAATCCTCATTGGGCTCGCGTAGTTGGTCATGCATGACAAGTTTTTCCTAATCTGTCTATAGGAAAGGATTTTTCCCAGTAGCTTGTACATTTAACAGGGTGATGACGATAATGAGATGCATTGTATGAATGTTTAAAGATTGCCATTATGTTTTAATACGCATGATGGTATATTACGTTAATTAATTGGATAGCTCTGACACAAGGCGGTTTTCATTACATTATGTGGAGTGTATTTATTATGAAGTCACGTGCGCTACGCAGTTGTTGAATTTACATTGTCCCTAGACACTGTAATAAACTGCCGAGCTCCAGTGCACTGAAAGATTTAGCACTTGCCGCTACAATATTGATGTTTTACGCAACTCCTTATGATAGGTACCGTTATAGTATTAAATTGATGGGTACAAAGTAAACAATAACGAGACCATTAAAGTAAGTGGAGACCGCCGAAGGCAATCTATTAACATTTTGTGGACAACATGTCGGTATTGACTGGACAATATATTTTATTATTTCATTGGATCGTAACATGAATAAATAAAAGATTGTTTTTTCGTGAAAGTTTTACTTTAAATGAGAATTTAATCCATTATAGATATTCTTTACTATCAATATCAATTTATGTTCTGGAAATTACGAGTAAGTAGTTACTATTAGTTGTTGTATTTGTGTGAAAAAAAGGTTTGTTTACAATATTTATTTATAAAATCCGTTGGAATGACTCCGAATATTAGGAATTCGATATACCTAATACGTACTAATATTGCATTGGAAATTTCAATACTCGATCAATAAATAGTACGCGTGCAAAGACGGGATACGACGTTACTAGTACCAAACAATTCACATATACAATTTTACTAATAAGAAGTATTAGCTTCCGCCCGTGACTTTGTCCGCGTTATAGTTAGTTTTTCTGTGAATCCCACAGAAACCTAACATTTTTCTCGGATAAAAAGTATCATATGTGTTAATGTAGGTCATAAACTACATAATTGTTAAATTTCCTCCAAAGGCATTCAGCCGTTTTAACATGAAAGCGTAATAAACATCTACACATAATTATGTATGTGTAGTAAATTTTCTTTTGATATATTTAGCAATATTCCAGTTTAATAGTTATAAAAACTTGGTATTAAGGTTACTCCAACACTAAACTTGCGTGTGTACTTTGATCGAATACGAAATGAGATGAAAGTTTTGTGGCAGTCTCCCTAAAATTTATTGTCAATAAATATATTTATTTTGTTTTTTAACAGACTTTTTGATTAGATTAATATTATGTAAAAAATATATGATTATGCTTTATTAGGTGATGTATGAGTGCAATTTTTTAGACTCTTTTATTTAGGTATGGCGCTACAATTAGTACTATGCCTACTTGACTTTGCATACTGCTTGCTGTAATAGGGTTACTCGTATTTCATAAAACTGTATATGAAGTTCAAGAGAGAGAGGGCATAGCGGATTTTCCGCTCGAATTGGAGAACCCGTCTGGGAATGCTAACCTCTACTCCAAAGGTTACCTCCACCTCACAGAAGATCACAGGAAATAACAATACCTTTTGGCTTAGATTGTAACAATTTTAGTTACCACCGACTATTTCAGGGCTTACATGAGACTCGAAACTTATTTAATTTAAAATCAGGGCGCCGTGATACTGTGATTTGAGGGAGATAAATGAAAATGTCTAAAACCGCAGTGAACAAGATATTATATTGTTAAAAAAGATTCAGATCTTATCTCATCATGGTTAAAACTTAATACTAGTCACATTCAAGTTAAAAAATACATAGTTATATTTCTTCAAAGATTTTTCTTTTGATTTATAGCTATTCAAACATTCAAGATCATGTGCTAATACAGTAATACTCAATTTAAGTTTCTTATATACACAAATTATTAAACAAGTTATAAAATACTAAGTTTTAAAAATTTAACAATAAAAATTGTTATGTACTTATAATGGCTTTACAGTTTACCAATAGAATTTATCACGTTAAACAAAAATTGTTCTCCGGAGTATGCACTGGTTAAATATCAAGAAGTTATAAGTTTTACTTAGCTTGGCAAGATCATGGGAGCATCAGGATCACTCAAATGTCCTCAGGGATGAAGCAGGACTTGCTGTCATCACGTGAACACGTCACTTTTTTGCTCAAGGAAGCTTCACAGGCTCATATATATATATATTTCCAAGGAGATTCCAATCAGGATCAAGTAAATGTGACTATTACTGTTATTTATTAGCCAAATTAATGGACCTAGAACCAATTACATATTTTTCTATAATTCAATAAAAAACTAACTGGACCTACAGCCTAACGAATCAAATGTATTGAACTTACCCGTTAATCCGGGGAGAAATATTAAGTATATAATGCACTGACTACCACTGCTAGTCTTAATGCTATTTTCTAAGTATGGTCTTCAAGGATCTATCAGCCAAAAGAGAGCGAATCTGTTTGTGCACTGCTATTTATAGGCTACTACAACACGTGACAGCGTCATTGCAAATTTCTCTCATATCACCATATTTGGTATGAGGAAGCACACGGACCGGTTTTGCTGACTCCGCCTTTCAATGTTTCCAGAACATTAATGTGACGTCACATCCATTTCCGCATCTCATTCAAAAGAAATTGCACACTAGCTCCCTCTAACTTACATTCCAAATGCAACTACTAGGTTCACACATATATTGTACTTGTCCATTGCTTTTCAAAGTGGATTTCGATATTGAATAATTTATATGCATGATGATAGATGGCGCTGAATAAATAATAATATTTCTACGACTTAATATTTAAGAATTATATTGCTAAGTTTTTAACGTTATTAAATTTAATTGCTACACAACATCCCCCTTATCTCAAAAAAATTTTTCCCAAAAAATTTTTTTTTAATTAATTAACCTGCAACTGACTTACAGACAAATCAACAATACTAAGTATTAGCCAAGATAAAAAATTTAAACTTATATACGTGAGTATCCATTTATTTACTCCACGTAATGTTCTAAACTCTAAGTCAATAGCAACAATTAAATATTTGCTGTTTAATGATTTTTCTTTTAGTTTCATGTAAATACCTTTCTTGGATCTAATATCCAGTGGTATAACATGGCTTTTTTTTCATCTTAAGAACTTAAGGTAGT